TTTCTTAATAAGTAAAAAATATATGCTTATTTAGATCATTCCAAACAATTCCTAAATATTGTCAATATATTTTTCTCACTAAGGGCTCGTTTGAGAATAAATCATTTTAATAATTTTTTGATTTTTTAATGAAACAATATATAGAAAAATAAAAAAAATAATATGACAATTTATAATTACTTTTTGACTAAAATAATTCCTTTTCAAAAGGCTATGCATATGAAATCTATGTATATGATGTTTAGTAATAAGGAAATTATATAAATAATATGTTCTTTGATCTCTAAGATATTTCATAAAATTCTACATGAACCTCAATCACTAATCTTGCATAAATATTTTTTTGCTCGACAGGCATCAATTAGACCTGTCAATCAAATGAATCGTAACATTTGTAATAACCGACTTCATGAAGATATCATTGGATTTCAAAACCTTGTAGCATTGGTTCAGCGTCATTCTCAAACTGAGTGCCGTTTTGGGAACCAAAATAAAAAGTCACGTTTTTATTAAATTGTTTAAAAATGTAAATGGCAAAAATACAACAAAATTAGTTTGGGAAGTGTCAAAAATACAAGTGTAAAATTACAAATTGGGATCTATGACAAAAAAATAAAAAAATAAATTTCTTATGTTGGGTAAGGATATTTTGGTTATTTTAATTTTATTTGACACCATAAACAAATATTAAACTAAAAAGTCAAATCATTCCAAACAATCCCTAAATATTGTCAATATATTTTTCTCACTAAGGGCTCGTTTGAGAATAAATCATTTTAATAATTTTTTGATTTTTTGATAAAAAAATATACAAAAAAATAAAGAAAATAATATGACAATTTATAGTGATTTTTTGATTAAAATAGTTCCTTTTCGAAAGGCTATGCATATGAAATCTATGTATATGATGTTTAGTAATAAGGAAATTATATAAATAGTATGTTCTTTTGATCTCTAAGATATTTCATAAAAGAATAATGTTTGAGAGCTCGAATTTGGCCCCCCTAATCTTCCTAATCCCCAAAACGACATCGTTTTGGGGATTTTTTTTTTTTTTTTCTTTTCTTTTTTCTTCTTCCATGTTCAACTCTGCAACAACTCGGAGGGAGAGGGAGAGAAAGAGAGAAGAAGAGGGGAAGAGAAAAGAGATCGCCGCCCAGCACGTCGCCGCCGATCGCCCAGCTCGTCGCCGTCGTCGCCCAGCTCCGATCGTCGCAGCAGCTCCGCCGTCGCCTCCGGTCCTGCCTCCGCCTCCTCCCACTGTTATGGCCCCCTTCAGTCCACTCCTCCTCCTTCTCCTTCCTCCTTCCTCCTCCTCCCTTCTCTTCTCCTTCTCTGCTTCTGAAAAAAAAAATCAAGATTAGGGGGATTCGGGGGAGCTCGTTTTCGAGCTCCCTAGCACGGTCGTTCATAAAATTCTACTTGAACCTCAATCACTAATCTTGCATAAATATTTTTTTGCTCGATAGGCATCGATTAGACCTGTCAATCAAATGAATCGTAACATTTGTAATAACCGACTTCATGAAGATATCATTGGATTTCAAAACCTTGTAGCATTGGTTCAGCCTCATTCTCAAACTAAGTGCCGTTTTGGGAATCAAAATAAAAAGTCACGTTTTTGTCAAATTATCCAAAAAATATAAATGGCAAAAATGTAACAAAATTGATTTGGGAAGTTCCAAAAACACAAGTGTGAAATTACAAATTGGGGTCTATGACAAAAAAATAAAAAAATAAATTTTTTATGTTGGGTAAGGATATTTTGGTCATTTTAATTTGATTTGACACCATAAACAAATATTAAACTAAAAAGTCAAAAATTAACTTTTTACTAACTTCCCAAATCATTTTTCAAAAAATTAAAAAACTTAATAAAAAGTCAAAAACTAATTTTTTATCAACTTTCCAAAACACTAAGAAGCTAAGCGTGTCTATTGACTCCTGACCTACCTTTAATTACTAAAAGTGAATTGGTTTTCTATTATCCTAAGCCAATTCTACTAAGGAATAAGGTAAAAGATGTCCTTATTATCAATGGTAGTAATTTTTCCCTTCCCTTGGCAATAGAAGGGGCCATCTTACCAGCCTATCTTCTTTCTCTTGAAATAAAACAATATCCGAGTTCCAACTTTGCTTGTGTTCTTCATCAGCGCTTGTTGGATGTATCACTTATCTCACTCCTAAGGTGTAATAAGGAGTTCCAACTTTATCATTTAACTCATTTTGGAGCACATATGTTTGATTTGGCTTTGTAGAATGATTTTGAAATTTTTTTTAAAAAAAATTTGTTTGGTTTGTAATTTTTCTAAAACAAATTTTAAAATTACTTTCTCTCTCTTACACATCAATCAATTACTTTTTCTCTCTTTTTTTTTCTTCTTAATCACTTTTTCTCTCACACACATCTACTCAGGCCAAGTTTGGGAAGACTAAAAAAGTGCACTTTTTGTCTTTTTGGACTAAAAAATTGAGGTTGAAAATATGGATGTTTGGGTTAACTTTTTGACTTTTTATTGAAAAATGTGTAATAAAAAATTGTAAAAATTGATTTGTAGGGAAAAATTTGAATTGAGAGTTGTGCAGCCGTAATTGTTGACTTTTGATGAATTGTTGACTTTTGGTGAATAGTGTTAACTTTTTAACTTTTTGAATAACTTTTTGGCTTTTTGACTTTTTTTAAAGTCCCCAAACTTGGCCTCAATTACAATAAAATATCAAATCATTTCAAACTCCCAAACTCCAAAACTACTTTTAAAATACACAACCAAACAAACCAAAAAAATTTCTAAACTCTCTTCCCAAAACAAATTTTAAAAACAACAATGCTCCCTACACCCAGTGGGGGTGGCGCCCCCAGTGACGTGGCGCGCCCCCACTGGTCGAAAATCAAAAAAAAAAAAAAAAAAAAAAATTGTTTTTTCCTTCCAACCCCCGGGTGACACCTCACTGGGTGTCACCCCCAGCTGGGGGTAGGAAGCTTTTTCTTTTTAAAAACTACTCTCTCAAAACCAAACCAAACACACCCATCATCTTTCACATTTTTACACACAAAAAGATAAAAAAGTTAAAAAAAAAATTAAAAAGTCAATTTTTAATCAACTTTTCAAATCACCCTTATGTGTTATAATCTTTATAGGAATGAGAATCTCACATGACAATTAGGGGTGATTTGGGAATGAAAGAAAATAATTGAAAAAATCACAACAAAAAATTAATATATTCTCTCTAATTTTTTTATATATTTTTTCGTAAAATTTTTAAAATTAATTTTCAAACGACTCTTCATCCTAATTTTGTATTTTATGCGGATTTTTTTTTTAAGATAGAAATTTACGAGACTTTCAATAAAATAAAATAAAATAAAATGAATTGTCAACAAAATCACTATCGTGTAATTGTGGGCAATTCCCAGTTTCAAACTGGAAATTGTGGCAATGTTGTGATATTGAGTTAAATCGGGGGGCAAATTGCACTACTAAAAAGCTACCAGTCAATCAAGGCAGCTTTTATTTACACATCTACCTTCCCCCACACACTTCATAACTTTGCACATATTTTATAAAAATTATTTTCATTATAAATTTTTTTAAATGAAATTATTATTATAGACATTAAATAAATACATTCAGAAGTTAAATGTCAAAAAAATAATAAAAATTCAGAAGTCTATTTCCAAACTAAGGTCAAGTTTGGCATATCTTGAAAAAGACAAAAAATTAAAAAGTCAATATCCTATTTAAGTCACATCATCTTATTTAAGTCACATCACCTCTCTAACACATCACTTCAAACCCAACCTAAACCCAATTCATATTTCATAAAAAGTCAAAAAGTATACTTATTTAGATCATCCCAAACAACCCCTAATTATTTATTTTCGAAAAGTTACTTTTGAACCAATTGTTTATTTTCAAAAATTTATTTTCGAATCAATTATTTATTAAAAAAAATTGTGTAAAGTGAGGGATGGGTACGTGTAAATAGAAGCTCACGTCAATCAAGAAAAAAAAAAGAATGACATCACATCAAGGACACGTGTACCCGGTTGGCTTCGCCTGCAAGCGTTATGAACGCGGTCCTTTTTCTTTCTCTTTTTTATGAATTTTTTTTTGTTAATTAAGATCCTTTCGATAAAAAAAATTGTGATCATAATAGAAAAATTTTGAAATTTTTATGTGAAATTAGAAAAAAATTTATGTAAAAATTAAATTTTTTCTATTTCAAAATCAAAATTTCTCTAAGTTAAGTTAAAATTTTTTTGAATCAATATAAATTTTTTTAAGTTAAATTTTCTCTATAATTAAGTGATTCTAACTAAACCAAGTTTTAAGTCTCATTAAATGAGATCGGTCACATGAATCCTTTTTCTCTATGCGGCCCTATTAAAGGCAATTTCATTAGTCAAATTAAGTAGATCCATATCTCTAGTTACAATACTACTCAACGTTAATTTAGACCTACCCCGTCCCCTAACACTTCCATATACTGTTAGAGTATTGCATATCTTCACTACTACTTCTGTTGGTCTCCGTTGAATATCACCAAACTATCTTAATCGATTCTCTCTCAACTTATCTTCTATCGATGCTACTCCTACTCATTCCCGAATACACTCAGTTCTAATTTTGTCTTGTTTAGTCTTGTCACACATTTACCTTAACATTTTTATCTCAGTCACACTCATCTTATCTACATATTGTTTCTCAGTTGCCCAACACTCTGTCCCATACAACATTGCTGGTCTAATAGCCGTTCTATAAAATTTATCTTTAAATCTAATGGCTGTTCGTTTATCGCACAATATGAAAATATTATATATTTTTTATTTTATTAAATATTAATATAATAAAATTATATATATTTTTTCCTCTATCCTTCTATAAAATAAAAAATTTAAAAAAAATACACCACATAAAATCCTATTAGAGGAAGAAGAATCCAATCGCACTCTGTCTTTCCTATTACAAATTTGATGTCCCAATCTTCAACCAACCGTTGGCTTGTACCCCAGGTTCTTCTTCTTCACACTTCCTTATTCTCTCTCTTTCGCTCTCTGTAAATACACATCTCATCATAGTTTCTTTTTTATAATTGCCCACAAATTCCAGATTTTGTTCTGTTTGGTGTGCTCTCTTGCTTCTAGATTATCTGAAATTTGGTGGGTATTTCTTGTATATATTCTGTTTATTGTTCTGGGTTGAACATTTTAGAGGTTTTCAAGCCTTGTTGCTTCTTGATTGGTGTTTTGGTTTATGTGATTGGCTTAATTTGGGGGATTGAATGAAATTTTTGAGCTGATACTTTGATGGGTATGAAATAAAGTTGGGATTTTTTTTCCTGGAAAAAGAGGGTTTGTTATTCTTTTCCCTTTGTTGTTCAACAGTGTTCTGAGAAAAAAAGATGGTCTTTAGGTTTGGGATTGTATTTATGTTGTAATTGGGTGGGTATATATGTGAAAACCCTGGTTGGGTAGGTGTTAAATTAGGCCTAGTTTGGGTTGTTTTGTGGTTCACTTCAATAATTACTCTGAAAATTTGTGACTCAAATAAGGGAATTTGTGGAGATTGGGTTTTGAATCCCCAGTTGGGTAGGATTGATTTAAAGATATTGGGTGTATTCTAGTTGGTTTTGTGGGGATTCTGAATTTGTTCCACTCAATAAGGGTTTTTTGACATAAAGGGTAGGTTTTGAAGGTAGGTATCTGTTTGGATTTAGCTGTTTTTGCTTGGTAAATATGGTGGAATCGATTGCTGCAACGTCCCTTTTGGGGCACCGACCGGTATGTGGAGGATATTGCTTCACGGATGTCTCAAGAAGAAGAAAGCAATTTGCTGTATGCCGAATCCCTGTAACAAAATTTCTTGGTAGGAATGTTGTCCGCACTCGTTCTTCGTTGAAATTTGGAGTTGATCGATTGGTAGTTCCATCAATTAAGGCTCAAGCAATGGAATTGGCAAAGGAGGCCTATGAGTATAGAGAAGAAAAGCGAATACCCCGGGATTTCGAGTACGGGATAGATACTGGTGTAGATCGAAAACCCGGCTTGTGGCCACCGGAGAACAAGGCCGATAATGCTTCACTTCACAACCCTTTGCTTCGACAAGAAAGGATGGGTTGTGGGTGGTTAGGTGCAATCTTTGAATGGGAAGGAGTTCTAATTGAGGACAATCCTGATCTTGAAAAGCAAGCCTGGCTGGCTCTTTCTCAGGAAGAAGGAAAATCCCCTCCTCCAGCTTTCATTCTTCGTAGAATAGAAGGCATGAAGAACGAACAGGCTATTTCTGAGGTCCTTTGCTGGTCTAGAGACCCGGCTCAGGTGAGACGAATGGCATCTAGAAGAGAGGAGATCTACCAAGCGTTACAAGGTGGGATATATAGGTTTCGATCTGGGTCTCAGGAGTTTGTGAATGTTTTGATGCATTACAAGATACCTATGGCGTTGGTTTCAACCCGCCCAAGAAAAACCCTTGAAACTGCAATTGGAGATATTGGGATCAAAGAGGTCTTTACTGTAATTGTAGCAGCCGAGGATGTTCACAGAGGGAAGCCCGATCCTGAGATGTTTGTGTATGCAGCACAGCTTCTAAATTTCATACCTGAGCGGTGTATTGTGTTTGGAAACTCGAACCTGACGGTGGAGGCTGCTCACGATGCACAGATGAAGTGTGTGGCTGTTGCTAGCAAACATCCTGTGTATGAACTTGGAGCCGCTGACTTGGTGGTGAGGCACTTAGATGAGCTTTCGGTGGTTGATTTGAAGAACCTTGCTGACATTGAATCAGCTGAGTTTGGGTCCGGTGAGCCAGAGTTGGAGATGGAGGAGGAGAAATGTGATGAGCCATACCCATCCACCTCCGTGGCTGTTGATGATTTCTGGTAACCTCTCTCAAATGTACAGTAATTTGTGCCTCGTGCCTTTTATCTAATTCTTGATGACAAGTTCATATTCGCTATCCTGTGTATAAAAAAAAGGAAAATTTGAAAACCAACAAAAAGCAAGAATTAAGTTGGTCTACATTGGACCATCTCAATGTCATCATGTATTTATTTTATGTATTACACTATATATGTAAGTGTATATTTGGTACTTGCTCGTTGTGTTCTTTCTTTTCTTCAAACTTAATTCAACTTTTAACAATGATCTGTCCTGCGAACCAGTAGCGTTTGGATTACAGGAAAACCATCTCTCCCGAAATATGACATGGGCAGCACAACTTGAAGCAACACAAAGCAAAAATTGAAAATGCTACATATCTATTGGCAGTTTTGACACTTGAGGTTTCTGGAATTTTGAATTGAGATTCAGAGAATGTTGTTGTTGAGCACGCTTTTCAACTGATATTTTTCTTATGCTGGCATTTCTGTGATGTTGCTTTACTGGTCTTCAAGTATGTTTGTTGCTCTCCCTCGGTGATGTTTAAGAATCTTTTAATAGACTAGTTAAGGTAAGAGCTAATCCATGATGGGAAGTGGAAGATTGGTAGTTTGTTGTATAAAGCCCTCGTTTGGTATGTTGGTTTTAAGGGCTAAAAGGTTAAAATAGTCACAAAAAGATAAAATATACTTAAAAATTAATAAGATAAAATGTTACATTAAAATTATAATCATTTTATTTTTTCTCTTAAAAAAATCAAAAAAATTCAACTCAAACAAGACTAAAAACGAAGCCAAAATAGGACTCATTGGACAGAAACTGTTCAAAGGCTCTGTATAGGATGGTTTTGATGAACAGCCTATAGCACAGTGCTTTTTCGGTTTCTTCAGCTTTGGGCATGTTAGGCATTTTTTTTTTCCTCCCTATTTTGTTCTCCAAAATTGGGACAGAATTTGTTTGGCGAACTTTTGGGGAAAAAAAAAAATAAAAAAAATCTCTTTTTAGAAAGCCCTTTTTAGTAATTTTCTGCATCTCCACCCAAAAATAATAATAATAATAATAATAATAATAATAATGTTGCATATAATGGAAATGATACACTGAAAATAATAAGTGTTTTCCAATTTTTTATGTTTTTGCTTCTGGGAAAAAAAATAAATAAAAGCGAAAGTAGAGTAAACCTCAAAAATGAAATAATAAGTGTGTTTCAATTTTTATTTATTTATTTATTGTTTTTGTTTCTAAACAACAAAAACGAAAATGAAAACAAAAATCATAAACATAAATGAAAACTAGAGAAAGCTGGTTCCCTCTGCTGAGACATGCTCTTGCACGTTTAAAACCCAGGGCCATCTGTTTGTTGCTTGCTTCAATGATAGAAGTGAGGGCAGTAAGCAAAGCAGTTTGCTGATACTACTTGTCCTTGTGGGACAGGTCAGCTGGTCCACGACCCCAACACCGTTGTCCGATCGCTGGATTCACTGAGATACCTACACAAAAGTTTAATGGGGAGCAGGAATCTCCCAGCAAACCCTCCGACGAGCAAGTTAGAAGAGAGAGATTAATGGTGTGTCGAAAAATAGAGTAATGATAGCGAACTTAACATTCTTTTTGTCTTAGAAACCTACTTATATCATTTGTTTATCATTTCCTTGTCCACTCCGACCTGTCATGCTTGCCGAAAGTCTATGTTCTAACTTGGCTTGTTCATGGTGAGGCTGTTTTGTTCCGACGTGAAGGGGTTATCGCATTAAATGCTGTAGGGGACCTCATTAATGACTGATGTGTGGTGCAATAACTCTGCAGGATCTTTGTCTGCTTACGTAGCTGGTTCTTCTCTTGACATGTGTTTAGATGCCATTTGTTCTTGGTGCCACGTTGGGTTCCAATAATGTTGGACTTTAGTGTTTGAGCCATGCATTAGGCTCTAAGTGGCGGGCCAAAACCCCCTATGGGTCTACCTATGTCAGCAGTCCCCCATTCCCAAGTGCAGCTTCAGTCCAACAAAGGGAATAAGAAAGAAGACGGGGATTGTGGGTGGCCGAGTGAGAGTAGACCGACTGGGTGGAGGACCGACCGCGAATGGTGACTGAGTGAAAAGGCCGACTGGGAGAAGGGTCGACCGCGAAGGGTGACCGAGCGAGAAAATCGACTTGGAAGAGGGTTGACCGCGAAGGGTGACTGAGGGAGAAGGCTGACTGGGAGGAGGGCCGACCGCGAAGGGTGACCGAGTGAGAAGGCCGACTGGGAGGAGGGCCGATCGCGAAGGGTGACCGAGCGAGAAGGCCAACAGGGAGGAGGGGCGATCGCGAAGGGTGACCGAGTGAGAAAATGGCGGTACGCGGGGCTCGAGGAGCGGTAGGGCACGTGGTGATGTGAAGTGGAATGGACAGGAAAGAGGAAGAGAGTAGTGGATCGTGGTCGTACACGTGGCACAATCCCGTAATAAGGCAGATGATGCGTTAGCAGGAAGCGAAGGGGTAGGCTAATATAAGGCGTCGAAAAGGCAGGGGCAGAAGTTTTCGAAATTTTTCAAACTGGCGAAATTTAATCTCGATCCTTGAAATATAGGCAAACCGTGGGCATTTGGAATTATTCGTTTTACTTACCTTGTCGCGAAAAACCAACACATCCCAAAGCTGCATTCGTTTGTTTCGTGTGATACGCCGTTGCGACACTCTGCGAATTTCCTTGTGCCAGCATCCGAAGCGATACGCAAACACATAGAAGGGATGGCTCAAGATAGAAGGGATGGCTCAAGATAAAGTGCCAACCACGAGGCTAGATGCGTTGGGAGAGGACGACGCAGTGGGGTTGGCTGAACAATACAGGGTAGAGAGGAGGGAGGAGAGGGGGGCTGGGCAAGCGGTGCGGGCTCGCCCAGCAACGATAATCGTAGCCGCTAGGCCGATTAGCCAAGTGGAATCGGACCGCTGGCACAACAAAGCCGACAAGTCTACGTTCACGGCGGAAGAGTTGGAGGAGGTATGAAGGAAATACCAAATTCCAGCGGAGATAGAGCTGAGGTTCCCCACATCTAAGGAGAGGGCGTCGGATGCACGACCGATGGAATTCACGCTGTACGAAGAGGCCGTTATAGGAGGGGGCTGAGGCTGCAGCTGCTGCTCCCCCAAGTAGTGGTGGATGTACTGAATCGACTGGAGGTGGCGCCAGGGCAGCTAATGCCAAATGCATGAAAGATACTAATGGCCTGCGCAGTCGCATGGCCATAGGCGACCGGGGGGGCGGCTATGACAATGGAGGAATTCTTCTTCTACTACAAGGCCTTCGGTCAACAGGAAACGTGGGTGACCTTGCAGGTGGTGGTGGGCCGTGGTCTAGTGGCAGGCTTGCCATCTTCAGTGAAGGAGTGGAGGCCAAGATGGTTGTATGTATCGGCGAACAGTAAGAGAGGGCTTCGCACAACGTGGAAAGTCCCTACCAAGTTAGTAGAGCTAAGGCTAGACACGGAGACTGAGAACAGGGTGAAGAGGGTGAAGGAGTGGAGGGAAAAGAAGGGGGCGAAGTGGGATGACCTGATTCAACCTTCAACCCTGTTTGCCTTGAGCCTGGTGCCGCAATCGACGGGGGAGTATCCGGCGCTGGAGGAGTTGAAGGCAAAGAGGAAGACGGAGGAGCTCAAGAGCGGAGAGCGTTCGCTAAAGCGGACAAGTATAAGAAGGCAAAGTTGGGGCCTATGCCTAAACTGGTGATGAGGGAGCGGGTCTGACCGTGTCCCAAACCGCTGGGAGACTAAGACCTAACTAACTTTGCCCCACTGCCGCCCCCAGTAGACCCGCTGAAGGAAAAGGGCAAACAGGAGGTAGAGGCAGTGTTAAAGAAAACAAAGAAAAAGAGGGCAGCGGCAGAGGGGAGTAAGGATGCCCCTGTTTTGAAGAAAATGAAGGAGGGGAGGGCAGAGGAGGCTCCAGAAAGGGAGACCGCCCAAGTGGCGAAAGAAGATATGGGCCCAAGTGCTGAAAGAAGACATGGGCTCAAGTGCCCAAGCGGTGGCGACGGTGGGGCCTGTGGTAGAAGTATCTCCCAGTTCTGGTGAAGGGAAGACTGGAGTTAGCAAGCCAGAGACGAACGCTACGTTGAAGACCGCCATGTACCACGTACGCGAGCTGGCATGTCACTCGGTAGAAGAAGGGGGGAAAGCTAGGGTCGCTGACGACCGTCTCGTTGGAGTAGTGAAGGATGCGGCTGTGCGATCGATGGTGCGATTGACAGAGATTGACCTCCTGAGAGGGTTTTGCTCAGCGCAGATGAAGGCGACGACCTTGGCGGTTGCCCCACAAGGTAGTATCGCTGGAGTTTGAGTTGGCGGGCGAGCAGAAGAAGGTAAGCAAATCCAGGAGGCCTGCATCACCGCCAAGGAAATGTTGGAGGAAGCCCTAGTTAACAACGAAGAGTTGTGTGACCAAGCGATTAAAGATAAGGAAGAGACAGAGGGGTGAATTGCAGACTTAGAGAAGGCCTTGGCGAAAGAGGGCCAAATTGGCATCTGAGAGGGCGGCGTACCCCGACTTATGCATGGCGGCCGTAGAGCAATTCATGGGGTTCGTCAAATTCCAAACTGCCATTGATGTCGCGGTCGCCAAGAGCTTGGCAAATGAGGGGGAAGGGGGGTAGGCCATCGAGAGCGGCCGCTGAAGGTAGGAGCGAAGAAGAAGTGATCCAAAGCTTCCAGCAGTCAGACTTCTACAAGCACAAGATGAGCCAATACTGGGATAGTGGCTGGATGAGCTTCAAGTATAAGGCACAAGAGTTGTTCCCAAGCGTGGGCTTCAGTCTCGTGAAGGTAGGAGAAGACGACGTTGCCCAGACCCCCTTGGACGAAGGGGATTGAAGAAGAAGATCTCGCCTCTAGCGAGGGGGAGTGATCTCGGTCACCCTTCGCGGTCGGCCCTTCTCCCAGTCGACCTTCTCACTCGGTCACCTTTTGCTAGGGATGGCAATCTGAAACCGGCTCGATGGGGACCCGACCCCCCGATCCCGAATATAACGGTTATTCCCCGAAAAATACCCCCAACGGGCTGGGGATGGTGATAAAAAAAAAATTCCCGATGATATTCGGGCCGGGGACGTCCGGGCCGGGGACGGGGATACAAGTTTCAGTCCCGGCCCGCCCCGGCCCCGAGCCCCGCCCCGTTT